TCCTATCTCTTAACTAGAGGACTCTCTAGGGCTAGATCGATCATTGCAGTTAATCTGAACCTGAGTGATGTTTAGGGGTGTTTTTATTTCTGTTGTAGTCTGTTTCTTATTCTGCTTCTGCTTATTTTTCTCTGCATCAGTTCATATAAGACTTCCCACATTTCTCTCTGAATTCATAACATTTGTTGTTTCTTATATTACAATTGAATTCTATTTAAATATGTCCTCCCTTTTATTAGTCAGTCCCAATCAATGGGAATCCACTTTGTTTCTAGTTTTTGGTTCCCACTAAAAGGTCTGTTACAAAAATTTTGACATATAGGGGACTCTTCTGTCTTTGACTTCTTTGGGATATTTGTCCTATAGTGCCTTGTGGGATGTGAATAGTTGTGATTTTTTCTTGCACAACTCAAATTGTTTTTTTCAGATCAACTGGTCCAATTTGGTTCTGTCTCTAACAGGATGTATCATAAATGTGCTTCCAACACTGTTTATATATTTCTTATTATCTTTCTCAATTTACTAAGGTGGAATTTCAATGTTGTTTGAATTTGCATTTTTTCATTTTAAATGATTTTGAGCATATTTTCATAGAAATGTTCAGAGTTTGCATTTATTCTTTTGAGAACTGTTTCTATCATTTGACCACCTATCTAGAATAACTCTTTGAGCAGTGACTAGAAGGTGAGTCATAGCAGGGAGGAACCCTCCTCCTCCTCCCTGTCCTGCCCCAAGATTGTTTGCTGCTTTAAATCTGTGTTATGATCATGAGAGTATCTGAAATGTTCCTAAGGGACACATAGTTTATACCCCAAATAGTAAACTTTAAGTGGTTGGTTGTGTGAAACACAATATAATAAACGGTGTTGGGAAGAAGTAACACCTGAGAAGAGAAAGGGGAAAGAGATAATGAATCACAGACCAAAAGTCTTTTGGATCAAAAAAGAGAAATGCTTTTGATACCCAGAGTGGTACAGTGAAAGTTAACTCAAGAAAAGAAGCACTGGGAAAATGGAGCCTCATTTTGGAAGCTGGATGGATGGTTGACATTTTGACCATGGGCATGACAGTACCCAGTCATCACCTCTTCCAAAGGAGGTGATGTCAGAACTGACCCTATGAGAAGCAATATCATTGACAACTGTTGGATCTACCTCTGCATCCTGATGCTCGTTTACACTGGCTTGCCCCCTGACTTGTGTGTCTAGATCCTGGTTTTGAACCACCCTGATCCTGTAGCTTGTGGATTCCTGACTTGACAGAGGGATAGACATTCATTAATGTTCTCCCATAACCAACCTTGCTCTGCTTCTCCCCTTTTGTTGTCTTTCATGGTTACTAATGGGGCCTCTCTCTCTAAGATTCTACATGCACATTGCCCTTTGAGTCAGATAAATTGTGGCTATACTAGAAACCCTTTCCTGGCCCCCATCCTTTGTTCTACCAGTTCAGTTAAGTTTTGTCTGTTGTTAGCTTTAATCAAGGTTGTGCTGGAGCTGGCTTGCATCAGCAGAGCCAATTGTTAAACTTTTAGTTTGAGTATTTTACACTTTAGAAATTGTCAAATGCTACAAATCAGGGCTTAATTTATTATTTTGCTGATCGAATACACTGAAGAAAATGATGGGGAAATGTTAATAATGCAGATTAAACTTACAAGTGTGTGACATGAACCTTTTTTCATTTTTTGAGATTTGGTTGTTAAAAATTTACCAGTGTACCCCTGGCTAAGATTCATGATTACTGGGCTCTTATCAGTTATCTAGTGACCATTTGCACCATGAGCTCCCTTGTATGTCAAGCTAATTTGTGGCAAAATGATAGCTGACTATTTGTTGGGTTCCTTCCTTCCTTCCTTCCTTCCTTCCTTCCTTCCTTCCTTCCTTCCTTCCTTCCTTCCTTCCTTCCTTCCTTCCTTCCTTCCTTTCTTCCTTCCTTCCTTTCATGCCTACTTCATAACATATTAGGCACTGGCGATGGTGATATAAATATAAGCAAATGTAAATAAGACAAACATTCTAATAAGAAGAAGCTTATAATCTAGTGTGTGGGGAGTAGACATGTATACAGAGAAATATAAATTTTAGAAAAAGAAAATGTACACAGGACTATAAAGTTTTAGGAAGTCAAATGATCACCTCCAGTTGGAGTGAGAGGAAATCAAGGGAAGCTTCATTCAGCATTTGACTGGGATCTTAAAAGATGAGTAGGATGTTAATATGTACATAAGAAAAGAATATTCCAGGTGTAGAAAACAGTATGAGCAAAAGTAGAGAGGTAGGAAAACAGGGTGTGTGTTCCAGGGAAGATGAGTAGTCCACTTTAGCTACAGCATAGACTGTGTGAAGGGGTATAGCACGAGAGGATGACAAAAGTAACTTGAAGTCAGATGGTGAAGGATATTGAGTGTCAAGATTTAGAGTTTTGTCTTTATTTGGTAGCCAGTGGGAAGTCATTGAAGACTTTTGAGTAATGGAGTAATATAACCATACCCTGCATCAAGAAGATCAATTTAGATACAACCATTTCAAGGCCAGCATTGACCAGTGGTGAGGGAAGAGGAGAGGCAGGGGGAGGGATGTTTGCCATGGCTTCCAGTTAGAAGTGAGCTTAATACTCCAGAAAAGGCAGACTGTGCATCATGGTCAGACAAATTCATTAATGAGGAGAAAAAACTACACTTTTCAAGTCATGGGAAAACGAAGTGAAAATTATCCAAATTTAATGGATTAGTGCCTTTAATATTTAAGCAACAAAACATACGGAGTCATATTTGATGCATACAAAAAACCCCAATAGTATATAAGAGTAATCAATCATATAGTAGAGTTATACTAAATCTAGGCTTAAAAATAAAGATTTAGAGAATGAGACAACACACAAGAACCCCAAACAAAACGAAACCAACTCAACCATGTACAAGATGCTATGTTTATTTATGCAGCCCAGTGTCTGATCTTTGACAGAAGTACCAAGGTATATTTTGATAGAGAGCATGACATCTACCTCATAAGTTGAGGTCTGTGCCTAAAACATAACTATATGCTTTTAAAAATTTACTTATGGCCTTTTCATCCTTGAATTTCATTTAAATGTTTCTTGAATTTACTTATAGTTTTATCCCATTAAACTTTTCAGATAATGCTGCTTATCATGTGAAAGTCAATAAAAAAAATCCCCAAATTACTCCTTTTAAACTTCTAGGAATACACTATTGCTTTAATAATTTTATATTTGGTAGAAAAATCCAATTCATAACCCCCAGGATTTTGTATACTGTGGAAAACTTTTGGCTTTTTTCCAAATGAAAATACTCCTGGTATCTAGGACAGCGCCTTAAACTTAGTATATGTACAATATATGCTTTTGGATTGGAAAGAATCCTAATATATGCCCCAAGTAAAAAGTAAGCTCCTTCAGAGGAGGAACTATTTTTTATTTTGCTTTTATTTCCTTTGTGCATAGCACATGTCTTTTATGTAGGAGGCACTTGATAAATGTTCTATTAGATTAGATAGAAAAGTTGTAATATATACTCCAACTAGAACTGAGCTCCTGTATTGTAGAAATTGTGTTAAATTTTGCCTTTGTATACCCAGCACCTAGTATTGCATTCTACACATAATAGGTGTTAAATAAATGCTTTTTTGGAATATAGTCTGTCCTTATGGAAACTGATCACAAATGAATTGATGGGGTGAGTATTCCTTTGACTTAATTATAATGTTATCATCTGGTTTCCTGAGTGACTAAGTTACACCTTGATAAGGTACTCTTGGAAATTGCATTCATTTTCAGTTCTCATGTAGCCCTAGTGAATAAATAATTGCTTCATTACCTGGAAAACGTTCTCAGACATGGAAGGAGAAACTGTAGTTTGCCAGAGTGCCTACCTTACTCCCAGAGGACCATTTCCAGAATCAGAGAATTTTAGAGTTTAAAGGACCACACTAGCCATCTAGACCAGCCCATATTAAGAAAGGAATCCCCATTATAGTGCAAATGGTAATCCAGTCATTGCTTTTGAATGTCTCCAGTGAGGGGAGAACCTACTACCTCTAGGGGTACTTCATTCCACTTTTGAACAGCTCTAATTAGGAAGTTCTTCTTGGTACCAGTTTAAATTTGTCTTTCTGTAACTTTTCCTTATTGCTACTGGTTCTGCCATCTGAAGGCAAACAACAAATTTATTTCCTGTTCTTCAACATAGTCTTTCACTTACTTGCTCCTCAGCCCAATTCCTTTGAATATGACATATATGACATGGCTTCAAGGTCCTTTCATAGTGGTTGCCATCTTTTAGATACTCTCCAACTTACCACTGTTCTTCTTAAACAGAATCCCAAACAGCCCACATTCTACAAATGTAATCTGACTAGGGCAGAATGTATAGGAACTATCATTTTCTTATTCCTGGAAGCTATACCTCTCACTGTAGCCCAAGATTACATTAACTTTTTTTGACTGCCATATCACACAAATAATTCATATGTAGCTAACACCCCCAGAATTTTTCAAACAAATTCAGACAAATTTTTCAGACAAAACTAACTATGTCTCCAAACAACCAGTTCCAGGAAAAATATGGAAGATGGAATATAATTTCCCTGCTGTCCATGTGTTGTGGTGATAAGAGAATCTAAATCAGTATGATGAGCTTCAGGTTATATCTACACAAAATGCATTTGTTGGATTTGAATTAATAAATAGTTAAGAAAACAACCTATAAAAAAACAAAGCCAAGCATGGTGCCTGAAAGTGCTTTTGATTTGATTTGATGCAATGTGGTAGCATCTACAGAAACATAAAGGTTAATTTCAGGCAAACAATTTGGAGAACAACTGTTTTCCAGTTATGGACAGAAAATGTTGTAGCCAGTGACCAAAAAAACTCATGAAGATTCATTTTGTATCTGACACTGTGATGGCTTTCTTTATTTTAAATTTATATAGTGTCATATCCTGTGAAGAAACACAATATAAATAGTGGAGATTTAAGGGTGAAAAGTTACCAGGATCTGTGAGTATTTATTGGATTAAAAAACAATGAGATTTAAAAAAGCATAAAAGCAACAATATGAACCCAAATGTTTTGTATTTTTTCCTCCTTTTTATTGTATGGTGGTTAGTCTGTCTCATAAAGATACATTATCATTTTTACAATCCAACACTTAGGCCAACTATACCTAGGGCTTTAATGGCAACAAAACACAACAACTCATTGGAGTCCTCACCTCTATCCCCTGAGGGCACAATTCTCAAATCCTTATTTTCATGTTTCCTTAAAAAATGCTATTGCTAGAGCTCTTGTGAGAAATTGTTAGATATTTTCCTAGTTGGGTTGAAATGCTAGAAGAAAAAGGCTAACTTTATCACTTAGCAGAATGGGTAATCAAAGCTTCTCAAATTGTGAAATCATTTTAATTCAGGAAAATATGTTTTATAAAGCACAAGTGAATTTGAAAACTACAATGCAAGAAGATTTAGAGAAAGAAACAAAAGAAGTTCAAATGCTTCCTCCTTTTCACATAACTGCTTATTTGTTATTTTAGTCACAGCCAAACCTTAAAGGCTTTTGAATGGAGAGAAAGTAGCAGAAAATATTCTATTTTGAGTGGTTAAAATTATTCCATCTGGTTAGAAGTGGGGTATTTTCCACTGGCTTAGTGGGGAAGCATGCTAATACACCAAAGGTTTCAGAAAGGATCTGAATCTCATCCTATAACTAAATAATAGAAAAAAACTTAAAAAAAGAAACAATGCAAAAACCGTAACTGTTCCCAATGCTCCTAATAACTTTTATACAAAATACACTGTAATGGAATTGTAAATAGAGAACCACGTAATGTACTATCCTAGACCACATTGCATGACAACCAATAGATGAAATTAATGTCTTCCAAATATTCAACCAACTAAATTCAGCCAAAAGAAATAAGGAGGCTTCTGTATAATTTCCTTGATACTCATGCAATGTGATTTTCTTCTTCCACAAACTGTATAATGGATCCTTAGACATAGTCATATTTGGAAGGATGTGACTGTGCCTCATCCTCATTTTTAGATTTCGTTTTGGATTCATAGATAGTGCTAGGTTTGTAGCCTCCTGTCCTGTAGGCAACATTGTGACCTGAGGCATTATAGGACACGGCCTTGTAACTGAAAGAAAAACAGAAAGCATCATGTCAGCATGATACAATGGAGAGAATACTGCACTGGGACTAGAGGATGGACCCAGTTTCAATATTTACTACCTGTGTGATTTAGCTAATTCACTTTACCTATGTACATGACAGACATTTAACAAATGCTTGTTGTGTTGATTTAAATCTAGCCCATCCCTTGTTTCATATAGGAGTACACCCCCCAAAACAAGATTGATCCATGTTTTCCATTCTTAAATATACCAAGAGAAGGAAATGCTATATCATTCTTTCATAACTTCTACTTGAATGGTGTTCTTCCATATTATTATTTCCTCAAAGTTTCAAACTATAGCAAAAAACAAAACAAACTAAAAAAAAACATAATCTTAAAACAAAAACATCCCATCATGTGACAGCCAATTGCAGGAGCCTTTCTGAATTTAGCTAGTTTGGTCTTTATATAGCAGACACATGGTCCATTGCTGGGCCCATACTTAATGCCAGGAAGGTGGAAAACATCATGGAAAGAGTATGAGATTTTGAGTTAGAGGATCTAGGTTCTAAGTCTTGTTCTGCCACTTATTACCCATATGACCTTAGACAAGTCATTTGACAACTCTTTACATCAGTTCCTTCATCTATAAAAGAAGGAAACCTTGAAGTCTCTTCTAGCTCTAAATCAATGTTCTTGTGGCCCTACAGACTTTCCCTAGGTTGCATTCCACTGGCACAGCCTTGGGGAATTCAGAGACTCCTCTATGTAATGAGACTTTGAAGGAGGTCTTGAGTGGAAGAATGATAATAGTAATGCTGAGGATAATGGCAGATCATACTTATCCAGGAGTTTATTTACAAAGCACTTTCCTCTATTAACTGCAAACTAATAATTCTAGCTATAAATTATGGACATCAGATTAGATCCTTTTAAATCAAATACATTTGCCATATCAAGACTCACTGGGTTTCCTCTGGAGCTAGTCCACGGCAAGCAATGCACATTATAATACCTCCAATCACAGTAAGGCTCCCAGCAATCCAGCCAACAAAGAGAGCAGAACCAAAGGTGTACCTAAAGCAAAAAAAAGAGTAGGCAGTAGTAGTAGTAGTAGTAGTAGTAGTAGTAGTAGTAGTAGTAGTAGTAGTAGTAGTAAACAATAACATCAAGCCCATTTTTTCCCCCTTCAGGCTAATGTAAAATAGATACAAACTTACATATGACCAAAATAATCCTCCCTGGCCATTGCTCCCCAATTTGTTTTGTCTCTCCTATTAGAATGTAAACTCCTAAAGGGAAGACACTCATTTTGCTTTTGTATTTTTCTTTCTATAGTTTAGCACAAGGCTGACATAGTAATTGCTTAATAAATGTTCATCCATCCATCTGTCCATCCATCCATTGGATCCATGTAATATTTCTCATAGGGGTACCCACTGAAACTTGTTAGAAATTACAGACTTTCAGAGCTGGGAGGAACTCCAGAAGCCATTTAATCTATCCTATAACCCCAAAAGAATCCTCACTGCACAACACTCCAAACTGATCTTCTAGCTTTTGCTTGAAGGTCTCTGTAGGTGGTGAAGTAGATAGAGGGCTAAGCCTGGAGTTAAGAAGGCCTGAGTTTAAATCTGACCTCAGACATTTAATAGCTATGTGACCCTGGGCAAGTTACTTAATTTCTGTTTGCCTCAGTTTCCTCAACTGTAAAAAAGAGAATGATAATAGCTTTTACGTCACAGGGTTGTTGTGAGGATCATATAAGACAGTATTTTTACAAGGCTAGCCCATTCCACTTTGGGGTAGCTCTAAGTGTCAGGTCTTTTTCCTTTATCAAGCCTAAATTTGCCCCTTTGCAGCTTCTACTCATTGTAAACAATTTTGCTCTCTGGATTGTAAGAGAATGAGGTTAATCTGTTTTTGACATGAGAGCCTATTGAAGATAGATATCTCCCCCTCCTTCAGCTGAGCCTCATATGCAGCATCTTGAGTCCCTTCACCATTCTTGTTGCCTTTCTCTGGATGCTGCTTGTATTATTATTTTCCTTCCTAAAGTGGCTCCCAGGACTGAATGCCGTACTATAGATGAATCTGACCACGGTACAATGCAGAAGTACTACTGCCTTCTTATTCTTTTAAGCTATGTTTCTCCTAATGAGGCCCAAGATCCCCTTAACTTTTCTGACTACTATTTTACACTATTGAAAACTCTCTGAAGAGACCTCTGGAAAAAAAGAATAGAGAAAGGAAAGCTTTGGAACCATAGATGGATAACTTTTGGTCTTGGACTTAATTCCATCAACCTGAGGTAAGTGTCCTTTGAAGTAATAATGCTCTAACCACAATGTCTCATCTAATGTGACAGTGCCCTTTGTTGTAGGGCTCTGAATAGAGTCTCTAGAAGGCTTTATAAGAGCAATTTTCTAGCTAAGAAAGGAAGGAAATGACCATTTATTAAAGCACCTACTATGTGCCAGGTTCTTTACAAATATTATCTCATTTGATCCTCACAACAACCCTAGGAGAAAAGTGCTATTATTATCCCCATTTTATTGTTAGGGAAACTGAGGCAGACAGTGGCTAAATGACTTGCCTAGAGTCACACAGCTATTAAGTGCCTGAGATTCAATTTTAACTCAGGCTTTCCTAACCCCAGGCCTAGCACCTTGTTCCACCTAGTTGCCTAAAATAATGCTTAGCCTATTTATTTCTGAAAGATGTAGCAGAAAAATCATTGAATTTATGACACCTACTGCTCACTATGGATGACTCACTTCAGCTCTCTGGACCTTGATTTCTCCTTTTGTAGAATGAGAGGGTTAGACTAGATGATCTTTTTAATGTTCCCTCCGACCCTTAAGAGCCAACTAGACCAAAATCCCAACTTGTATTCATTATAAAACAAAAGAATCAGAACAATAAAATACAGACATATCCTTTCTATACTCATTAATTGGTTCAATTCAAACATTATATTAGGTAAAACAAATTTACATGGAGCAGATAGTTCTATAGGAACAATATTTTAACGTTATGAATAGATGACTAGCTAAATGGCATAATAAATTTTGGTCATATTATAGGTGGGCATAAGTTTTTGTGTTTGTTTTGTTTTTGGTCCAGACCTGTGATTTCATCTGTCCATGGAATTCCCAGTGTGAAACTTCCTCCATCAACACAGGTTTGAAATTTTAGCTATGATTTGTAGTCTTAGAGAGTCACTTAGATCACTGAGATATTAAATGACTTGCTTATAGTCACAGATCTAGTATATATCAAAAGTAAGACTTGAATATGGATATTTATGAATTTAAGGTCAAATCACTATTCATTAATCCCTGCTGCTTCATAAGAGTTATAATGTCTTAATAATGCTATTGGGAAATTACTTTTGTTGGCACAACATGATTTGGGTTTGTTGCAAATGCTAATTCTCAATATACAATTTCATCATTGTAGAATGAGACATTCCTAATCTCTCAGCAAACATAAATGAGGTAATTTGATAGTTTTGGTTAACTGTCCAAGGCACTTTCTATAATAGCTGATATCATGGCTTCATACCTAAACATAAATCTTTTCCCCATCCCCAGTCATGACCAAAAAAGCAAATCAACAAAGCCTTGGAATGAGAGATCCCCAAGTGCTACTCTGTCCTCTCATAATGCATGAATGGAAGGTAGAGAATCAGGCTCTATTCTTTGGACTCTTCCAAGTTCCTTCCTTGAGACAGCCCCTATTTTTTTTCTCTCCCAAAAGGGAAAGAATGTTTTCATTTAACTCTAATTCCATTGTGGGAAGAATATATTGTCTTCCATTCAAATAATAGTGGAAGAGAACATATGTGACGGTTCTTCCTCCCTAATCCCTGAGCCTCTGAACACTCAGGTTTTACGTATCTTGGAATATTACCCATTGACTCACTCTTAGGTTCAATGTCACCTTAATCCATCCTCCAATTTGCAATCCCAGTTAAAAGTACAGACTGCATTTTTCTACTGACTTTGTATGTCCATTGTGAATGTCCTTTCCTTGTGCAATACTTAACACTCTATTTATTGACTAACTTCCACTTCCTGATTCTATGACGCTGGTAGAAATGGAAGCCTTTCCTACAAGAAAAATGTCCTTGGAACATGCGGGTAGAGGACACAAAGCCTAGATTTAAACAGCATGTGTTATGACCTGACTGGGGTTTGTGATTTCCCCAGGAAATAATATATACTGTCATCCTACTTTGATGAATCTACTTAACTTTTGTATCCTTGTGGGATTAAGATTCATTATATACATAAAAATGTTAAATACAATATCTGTCATGCAAAATTCCTCTTGTCCTTCTTCAGGTAGTTTTATTACTGGTAAATGTAGGAAAATGTTAAGCTGGTTTTGTGGGCTGATAAAATCAGCCTATCAAAATTTTACCTTCCTACATTTACCTAGGTTATAACAGTGTTGTATCTGATAGAAAGGACCATCTGTAAAATATAGAAATATGTGATATATACATAAATATGTATATGTGTGTACATGTATATGAATAATCAGTTTATGTTTCAATTAAAACTTTTACTCATTTATAACCTGATTTTTATAAGCTTAGCTTAATTTCTTTCAGAAAGAGGAAATGCAAGTTGATACTAATTTGCATGCCAGGGTTAATAATAATCATTCTGTAACAACCACAATAGCGTCTTGCGTAAGAACGTGAGATAAATAGTGTAAGTTGTCATTGTATTTCAATGGAAATGCCAGATCAGACTCAAATCACATCCCCAAATATATTTTACTGAAATGAAATTTATGAGTTCATAGATCATTGCTGATTTATGACATGAAACAGTTGGTTCTTATAAATACGTGTTTAAGACAGTGACAGTCACATTATACACATCTTAAATCTGCTTCATATAACAGCAGTTTTGACATTGAATGCTTTATACCAAATTAGAGCTTACCTGGTCTGAACTGTCTGTACCATCCCACCTACTCCTGAGTACATGTTAGCTGTGGACATCCAGAAGTTAGTGACCAGCATATTTGCAAAAACAGACACTCCAGCAATAGCACAAATACCTAAAAATCCAAAACAAGTCATTATTTATCTTTAAAGTCTCTTACATATTTACCTTTTCTGTCTCTCCTCCATACCTCACAAAAATAAAACAATTTTAATATATTTGAGAATCAGGAGATACAAATGGGAAAGAATGCTTTGTAAACATTTCAAATTCTAGTTTAATCTTAACAGCTAAATAATACTTGTCTTCTCAATATTGTCCGCCCTCTTAACCCTTCTTCCAATCTCTACTGGTTTTCCTGTTGAGTTTAACATGTTCCTACGCCAAAGTGCAGAGGTTCCCAAACTTATTTGGCCTACTGGCCCCTTTTATAAAAAAAAAATTACTCAGCACCCTCCTGGAAATCTACTTTCTTTAACCCTTTAACATTTATTTTGAAATTTGCATCTTTAAAAAAATATAAAATATATATTTTTTAAAAAGTTGCATCTTAAATTTAATAATTTATTGTAAATTTGTGTTTTTTTTAAAGCATTGAAATTTTGATGACACAATATTGTGTTGTATAACTGTATAGTATCATATTGTAAATAAGTCACTACATGCACATATTCCTGCCGATGCATGCTGGACTTCCCAACGATGCGTGACACTCTCTCCAGCCAACACTTGCTCGTTAATACCTGTCAGTGGATTTGACCACTGATCAGTTAAAGCTTGCATTTTGTGTATTTTTTTGGAAAATAATGTAGTCACTATGACTTTAACTCTGTGACACAACAGATGAAACAAAATTTTCTTGTCTTCTTTCCTTATACTTCCACTGCCCCCTCAATGTCCCCCACACACACACAATTGCACCTGAGGCTACTATCACCCCCCTGGATCATTCCAACATCCTACCGGGGGTAGTATCACCCACTTTGAGAACCTATGCCAAAGTGTGTGTGTGTGCACACGTGTGTGTGTGTGTGTGTGTGTTCGACTTTCTTTTCTTCATTTCAGATAAGAATGAGGTTCATCTGATGCCAGCTCTGCCCAGCTCTTCATCTGTGTTTGTATATTTTTCGTTGTATATTCCCCAATTATGAGAAATACTAAGTTCCACTCCCTTCTTCCTCCTTTCTACACAAGTATATTCTTTTTGGCTTTCCTCTCTTTCCCCTCTTAAAACTTAGAACAATCTCCAGTCTCAGGATCTGTTTTTCTTATTTAGCTGCCTCAATACCTTTTGAAGATATTGAGGCCCTGAGGGGGGCACTTATTTCTTCTCCCCAATCCGAATGTTGGCATCATATCATCACATAGCTCCTCTCCAATTTCTCAAATAAAGTTACCTTTCTCTTGACTCCTCTGCTTGTATTTCAAAGTTCCTACTTATCTCTGGTCACTCAAAATGCTTAGAGTGCTTCTACTCCATTACAGATTATTTCCCCCCAATAGGATTATACTTAGATTTGCAGTGCAAGTTATTTTTTGTTGTAAGCTTTGTCTTTTGCCTTTTGGAATATAGTATTCCAAGATGTTCTCTCATTTTTAGTAGAAGCTGTCAGGTCTTATGTGGTATTGGCCATGATTCTTTTTTATCTAAATTCCTTTCTGGAGAATGCTTGCAAATTCTTTTCTTTGAAGTAGAAACTCTGGATTTTGACCATGACACTCCTGGGACTTTTGTCTTTGGAAGTCCTTTCAGCAAGTGATTTCTATCTTGATTTTATCCATTATTTCTTATAAATCTGGACAGTTTTCCTTTATGATTTTTGAAATACAAGTCTTGAAATTTTTTGAATCATGGTTTTCAGAGAGTTTAGTCATTCTTACATAATCTTTCCTTGATTTATTTTCCAGCTTATCTTACCTGGTATCAGATATCTTACATTTTCTTAATGTTTAAAAAAAATCTTTTGATTTTGTCTAATACTTCTTGCTGACTCATGGAATCATTGATTTCTTTTTGAAACACTAGTTTTCAAGGAGTCCATTACTTGAGTAAGGTCTACCACTTTCCTTTCTAAACTATTTACTCTCCTTCCAATCCTTCAAAACATTTATTTCTTTTTTTTATTTGTTGCTTTATTTTTTCTAAATATTTGTATAGCACTTGTGGAAAATCTATTTTTCCTTTGAGTGTCTGCTTGAAGTTGTTATAGAGTTACCCTCATCTAGGTTGGATTTTTGAGTATTTCTATGCATACTTTTTTTTTTTACTAGTTGGCATCTTCTTTGGTTACTCATTTCTCCAGGTTTATTTGCTGAACTGGAGTTTTGAACAGGGTCATGCTCTACCCACTGCTGTACTTTTGAGTGAGAGTAGTCAACTTCTTTTAGTCTTTTCCTAAGTCATTTGGCTTGTGCACTAACCTCAATGTGCTGGAGTTAATCTCCCTGGATCTTTGAGGTTTAGAGACCTATTTTATTTTTGCCTTTGACTATCATGGAAGTATGTAACAGTAATACTAGTAATAACTCAAGTTCAGAATGTAAGCTCCTGTAGGGAAAGTGTTTTTGTCTTTTCTTATAATTGAATACAGAGCTTTTCACTTAAGCAAAGCTTGTGGGATTGAATTGGAACTTACCTGACACAATGAACATTATTCCAGAGGTCAGAGTCATCTTGGCCTTGGCACTGTCATCCATGTTGCTAATCCGAATACATTTCAGGGCAAAGATGGATACTAGAAGACCAATGACACCCAGGACAATGCCTACAATCATTAGGGCTCTTACAGCTTGCAACATAGCTTAAAGAAAAAAAAGCAAAAATAATTCAGTTTAAATTGTTGATCAAAGGGTTTTTTTTAAATCACAGAACTGTAAGTTATATTTATGTTACGCTTTAAAGTTTACAAAATGTTTTCTGAACAACCATATAAGGAAGGCAATGCAAGTATTGTTATCCTCATTTCACAGATAAGTAAATTGAGGCTCAGCAAGGTAAAAGACTTGCACCATACAGCTAGTATATGATGGAACCAGGATTTGAGTCCAGTTTTCCTGACTTCAGTGCTTTTTCCAAAGCCACCATACTGCACTTGGTAGAATGCAATAAATTGTAGGTTTGTTTATTTTTTTTTCCAGATTAAAAACTAATACTGCTATACCGAGAGTCAATGAAATATAGTGGATAGAGAATTGGTCTCAGAATCAGGAAGACCTGACCCTAGATACATATTGGCTGTGTGATCTTGGGTAACTCACTTTAACTCCCACTGCTTCCATGCAGCTGGCTAAGACTGTAAGTTGTAGATAGGCTGTGATGTTATTGGTGGCAAGAGCTTCCTCATCAACAAAACTGTGTGCTAGCGTAATGATACATGTATAATACATGGGAAAAGATTTGACCAAAGATAGGGAGTAAAGTGCTTCATGCCATCATGTGATTCTGCAGTGAGGGTGCTGGGCTTGGTGGTTAGATGATCCTGTCTCAGATACTCACTAGCTCTGGTCTGGTCACTAGACAGTTTCTTCATCTGTAAAATGACCAGGTTGGACTAACTGACCTCCGAGGTCTCTTCCAGCTCTAGATCTATGATCTTATCATCTATTTCCAAATACTCTCAGTGATAGACCAGCTGCCTATTCTAGCCCTTGACTATAATGGTGATAATGGCCAGGGGAAAAAAAATAAAAATTTAGTCTCACAGAGAAATTGGATGCCAATTATTCACAATACAAAAAAATCTAACTACAGGGCTTCTTTAAATGACAAACTTCCCTTGGCATATTTAAAACAAAATTTAATTTAGATGGAAGGCATTATAAAAACTACACAAATTCACACTAATCAAGAGGAAATTAGCCTAAATTAGTAAAGGTTAAAAACAACTTTTTGGTTTATACACAAAGATAAAGGACTAGAACCATAAGTAGAAAATATCCCAGCAGTGATATACCACAAATTACAAGTCGATTCAAGAAGCATGTTTGGGGCCTACTATATTTGTCTGTGCTAAGCCCTTGGGATGCAAAGGCAAATATAAAACCATCCCCTTTGTCAAAGATCTTACAGTCTGCTGGGAGAAGCAATATGTACACAAATAAGTAAATAGAAGATAATACAAAATAATTTTGAGGAAGTTGGGAGAGCACTACAATTGGGGGTCAACAATGGCCTTGAGTGGAAGTTAGAACTTGGGCTTGGAAGTGAGTTAGTGATTTCTAAAAGTGAGGTAAGGATGGAAAACATTTCAAGCATGAGAGAGAGCATGTGAAAGGCACGAAAGTGAGACATGAGATTGTCACTTATTGGGATAAATTAATCAACCATTCTGTCCAAAATATGGAGGTGGGTGTGTGGGGAGAGAAGCTAGAGAGAATCATAATATGAAATCAGACTAGAAAAATAGATTGAATCTCACAAGATAAGATTAGAGCCAGAACACTTTTAAATGCCAAATTGAAGAGTCTGTATTTTATGCTTGAGTCCCTGGGAAAATTGAATTGATTTCTTCAGGCCTTGGCTTCCAAATGAAGATACTTCCCTTTACCTCAATCCTCTTTCTCATAGGTTCAAACAGAAAAGTTAGCATCCTGAAAAGTCTCTTCCTCATGAGATTTTTCTCTTTGCTTTCATTCACTCTAAGCCCCACCAAATAACACATTTAATGCTGGCAGATCAATGTGCTGATCCTGGGAACAACATAAGTAGGAAACAGGCTAAGAGGAGCTCTGTTGGAAAAACAAAATGACTGTGTATGTTAGAATGCAGTGATGTGAGCTCCAGAAAAGAAAGTACAACTAATAAGAAGTCAACAAAAAACAAAGGAAGAAGATTATAAAACCTGGAGCTTGGACTGGGGAGAATAAGATCCCATTTTTCCTTCTCTTCTGTTGAAAAAAAAGTTCAATGCTTTTTGTTTTTGTATCACTGTCACTTTCCGTACCCAAATTATTCCTTCTTTGTACCAAAGAAAAACAGTTAAACAAAACCAATCAACTAATCCATGGTCTTATGACATACTGGCCACAGTATATGTGACACTCTATACCCATAATTCCCCTCTTCTCTACCAAGAAAGCATCAGAGTATAATTACAGGATCATAGATTTAGAACTACATAGAACCATGTAAGTCATTTAGTTCAACCTCTCTCATTTTTTTAGATGAAGAAACTGATGCCCAGGGAGGTTAAGTGATTCATTCAAGGCCACACAGGCATGAAAAGGCAGAGATGGGATGTGATCACAGATCTTCTGACTCTTAATTCAGTCCATTTTTCCATTGGACTACATTGCCATAGCATAATAGTTATAATTATGATGATGACATATTTCTATGATGTACATTTTTGCTGACAAAGTGCTTCCTTCAAAACAACATCACCATGTTGTGAATGTAGTGAAAACATTATTTTCATTTTACCAGTAATGGAGCTGAAGTTCAAAGGAGTCAGAGGATTACAGGATTTAGGGCTTTGAGAGATCATCTCATTCAAAGAATAATAGATTCATGGCTTTAAGGCTTGGAGGGGCATCACCATCTTTACTTTACACATGAGGAAAGTATTGTATAGAGAGGCTGTACCGCAACCAATATTACATGGGTTGCAAAGAGCAGAGCTGGGGTTCAAACCCATCATTCTTTTCACCCTCATTTTAGGGAGGAGAAATTGAGGCCAAGAGAGGTAAAGTGTTTCTCACAGTTACACAGCTAGTAAATGGCAGATATGAGGCTCAAATCCATGTGAGTCAGTCAATAAACATTTATAAAGTGCCTATGATATAACAGGCACAGTGTTAAGATCTGGGAATACAAAGAAAGGCAAAAAGACAGCCCCTGCTTTCTGGGAGCTCACAGTCTAATGGGGAAGACAACAAATAAAGAACTATATAAAAAAGCTGTAGACATGATCAACTGAAGATAAGCAACAGAAGGAAAGAATAAAAATTAAGGAGAATTGGAATAAAGCTTCCAGAAGAAAATAGGATTTTTCTGGGACTTGAAGGAAGCCAGGAAATTCAGGAGGTAAAGATGAGGAGAAAAAAGATTCTATGGGGGACAGTTAGTGAAAATGCTTGGAGTTGGGAGCTGGAGTGTCTTGTCTGAGGAATAGCAAGGGGTAAGTAGGTTGCTCAGTTGGTAGAGGGCCAAGTTTGGAGTCAGGAAGACTCATCTTGAGTTCAAATCTGACCTCAGACACCTACTAGCTGTGTGAGCCTGGACAAGTCACTTAACCTTGTTTACCTGAGTTTTCTCATCTGTAAAATAAGCTGGAGAAGGAAATAGCAAACCACTTCAGTGTCTTTGCCAAGAAAAACCAAAAAAGAGTCACATAGAGTCATATGACTGAAAAACAACTGAACAACAAGGAGGCCAGTGTAACTGGATCATAAATAGCAGGGGAGGGGTGTGAGGTATAGGAAGACAGGAAAAGTAGGGGTCCTTTCTAAGTCTATGTCAATGATTACTACATTAGGCTGATGACCAAACTGTTGACTTGGCTTTGTATCTCCACCATATTTTCGATTTCAGTATGAGCTTTAGCTTCTGAATGCTTGCCCAACCTTAATCCTTAACTTTTTTTTCTGACCTCTAGCTTCCTTACTGTTGCCTGGGTCTATCTAGCCTGCTCTCTTGCCCTGTTGAGATTAAGTATAAGGGGGTGGAAGGAAATAATAGATCTGGCCTAGAATGGCAATTCTTTTGATTTATGTAGGTAGCAAGATTACAGTAGTAAGACAGTTTGGAAAGCAGGAGAAATGCTGTCTCTCACTATAAAAGCACAGGTATTTCTAGTCTTGACCCTAGGGTTACAATATAATTAATTGATTTTAATCATATTCTATATATAACTGAAAAGAATAGACTGATACTTGGAGGTTTTCATTTCACTCTTTTTTAAAATAGCCACTTCTGCTATTATTTGTTATTCTGATCAAGAAGGGTGTGCTTATCAGTTGATACCAGGTAAATCAAGTGACTATTTATGTTTATTCAGTATTGCAAAGGTGTGATTACAGCATTCTTCTTGGGTGAATAAAAACTGTTATCAGACCTGAAGGGTGGGCAGGATTCAAAGCAGAAAGAAGCAAATACAAAAATGGAAACAGAATGTTCCCTCCCTATTGTAAAATAACTGATTCCCTAAAGGAGGGAGGATTGTAGACAAGGAAGTGAAAGTTGAATACACTTACATGCAAATGAAATGTAGGTTGAGAGTCATATTTAGAAGTATTTGGATGGAAGACAATGGGGCATTTTAGGACAAAAGAATAATTATTATTAACATGAAAATATATTTTGTGAATCTCTGAAAAGGAATATAGGTCTGTATTTCAGGTTTGGATTAGGAGGGAGCCTTAAAACATATGCATAGGAAGTGCTGAAGGATGGACCCTGTAAATGTCTTAGCAATATGGCAGACAAAGAAGAGACCATGATAGGTAATCCAAGATGAGTGGAAAAAAATTGAGGGACTGGTGAGACAGCTTCAGATAAGAGACTAGAGCAAAGTTCTCAGGTAATCTGGGGAAGTCTATGGATCCTTTCTTAGAATCATATTTTTGATGCATAAAATGAAGTATATAGGGTTACAAAGGAAACCAACTCCATTGAAAGATGTTTAGCAATTTTCTACAGAACTGTCACATAAATTTTGTATAATTATTCACAGGATGATAAATTTAGAGCCTAAAAGAACTCTGGAGACTATCTAGTATAAATCTTTCATTTTACAGATGAGAAAACCAATGCTGAGGGAGGTAAAATGACTTTGTCCAAGCTCACAGTGAATAGTATCAG